AAGCCAACTTCATTAAAGGGAGAAATATTATGGATAACATCATAATAGCTCAAGAAGCTATCCATTCAATGTGACATAAGACTAGGAAAATTAGTTAGATGATAATCAAAGTGGATCTCAAAAAAGCTTTCAACAGACTCCGATAGGACTTTATCAAAGATATTTCACAAGAAGCAAAGCTATGAGATAATATTATCACTCTCATTATGTGATGCATCACCACAGCAAGTATTCAAGTAATATGAAATGACAAACCAAGTAATATGTTTTATCCATAACGTGGGATTCGACAAGGAGACCTACTTATACTATATATTTGTGCACTCTGTAACTAAAGAAGTAGAAAATAGAGTATGGCATCTTATCTGTATAGGGAAAAATGATCTATTGTTGTCCCACTTGTTCTTTATAGATAATCTTGTCACTCTCATGATGCGATGCATCACCACGGCAAGTATTCAAGTAATATGAAATGGCAAACCAAGTAACGTGTTTTATCCATAACATGGGATTCAACAAGGAGACCTACTCTTATTATATAATTTTGCACTCTGTAACTAAAGAAGTAGAAAATAGAGTATGGCATCTTATCTATATAACGAAAAATGATCTACCATTGTCCCACTTGTTCTTTATAGATAATCTTATCACTCTTATTATGCGATGCATCACCATGGCAAGTATTCAAGTAATATGAAATGGCAAACCAAGTAATGTGTTTTATCCACAACATAGGATTCAACAAGACCTACTCTCACCATATATTTTTGCACTTTGTAACTAAAGAAGTAAAAAATAGGGTATGGCATCTTATCTGTATAGGTAAAAATGGTATGTTGTTGTCCCACTTGTTCTTTGCAGATAATCTAATTCTTTTTAGCACTACAGTGGCATCACAAATCAGTATGACCCATAGTTTGCTGTATGCATTTTGCGAAGTATCTGGACACAAAGTCAGCAAGTCAAAAACAAGAGTCTTCTTTTCAAAGAATGTGAACATCCACACAACAACTTCCATTGTCTACACCTGGGATACTAGCGAACAACACACCCTGGCACTATCTTGGCGTGCCACTATTGCATGATCATGTAACAAAGGATACTTACAACCATATTGAAGAGAAAGTGCAACAAAAACTATCAAGTTGGAAGGCAAGATCCTTGTCTCTTGCTAGTAGGATCACCTTGGTGTAAGTCTCTATGCAATCAATGCTTTCTGTGATACTGTTGAATGTGACGTAAACTACTAGACTCTTAGCTTTAACCAAGTCCAAGCTATAAAGTCTCATACACAACTTCATTTGGGGGTCTACTGAAGATCGTAGAGGTATTCCCTTAGTCAAATAAAGTGATGTTTGTCAACTAAAAAAATGTGGTGGGTATGGTATAAAAAATCTGGTGCAGCAAAACTCAACCTTTCTAATTAAATTAGTTGTAGCAATTATGTTAAAATTGGATCTTTTGCAAATTAAAATACTTGGGGAAAAATATGGGTGGCACCCTAATTGCAATAAGTTGCCTCAAGTTAAGATAGCTTCACACCTATGAAGAAGCCTTTTAATTAATCTGGTCAGATGCAATATTGGGTGTCAAGTAGAGTATTGGAGATGGCTAGTAGACACTGTCCGGGACGGATCACCGAAGCATTTACCTTTTGTGCCATTAAATGACACCAAATTATGCATACCAATCTACCATTTTGTCACCTCTAATGGCCAATGAGATTGGAAGCAATTTGCAAACAAACTTCCCCCAAACATATTATACCACTTGTGTCCACAGGTGTTAATCCACTAGCAAGATGCACTTGGCATCTAGAAAGCAATGGCAAAGTTATAGTACAATCAATCTATAGCTTACTTGTCCAACATGAACTAAATGATGAAGACAGCAAATGGGATTTAGTGTGGCGTTGGCCAGGACCTAACCGAGTAAGGACTTTTCTTTGGTTAATGATGGGGGGAAGCTATTGACAAATTGGGAGAGGACAAGAAGGCACATGGCAAGTAGTTCTACCTATGAAGTCTGGTACTCTAGTATTTAAGACATCAATCATATTCTAAGACGATGTAGTTCAGCTGCAGAATGTTGGAAATCGACTATTCTCTCTTCATACTTGGTGTTTTTCAATTCGCTATGCTTAAGGGAGTGGTTTAAAGAAAATCTCATTTGTAGGAAAAGTAATACATGATGGTGTGTCATGTTTGAAATTCTATGTTGGAAGCTATGGAATGCATGGAATAATTTTATCTTCAATAAAGAAAGAGTCCACAACTATAGGCTAGTCAATGAGGCTATTCCCTTTACTGATCATATCAAGAAGGCAAAGGATTTTTGTAGTCATCTTTACTAACTTGCTTGTTGCATGATTTTGTATTTAATTACTTGCACCAATTGTTGACTTTAGCACTCTTTATATTGGAATTGAATTTGTACATAATTTTTTTATCAATGAAACCTTCTTCTATTTGGGGGGCAAAAAAAGTGACTATCAGATTGTGTGGGCCTAGAAGATTGGTATTGAAAGAGGAAGAACGGCTACAAAAGGGAAAACAGAGTGAAGGAAAGAATAATAACACATGGTATGATATCCTATGTAGCATAACCACCTTAGCATGTTGGGTCAACTACCCATTGACCATTTAAGTTTGCTAGGATAAGGTTGACATTGCTATGATTTTTCAACTTGGGCAACACTGCTCTTAAGAAAACTTTTGGGTACTTAGCTCTTTCGCAAAAACTTCTGAGACAAAAATGATTTTTAACCTTTGAAAAATGTTGGCTATGTAAAAGTTTAGCATAAAAATATAGACTTAAAATATCTTTTTACATTCTAAAATTTATTTTAAAAAATTCTCTAAACACTTCAAAAATTACCCATTCATTATAAAAATTTCACCATTTGCCATAATACCAATATGTTGTTGGTCTTTTTCCCTCTAAGTATAAATATCCTCTTATTGGAAACAATCATATTCGAAGTATTAATGGGCATTAAGGTCATGTTTGGTAGGTTTCAATTTTGATGGATTGGGAATGAAAACGGGATTAGATGTTGGGGGGGGATTAGGAGTGGGAATGAGTTTTAAAATAATATTTAGAAGGAATCATTGCATCAACTTTTTTTTAGAATTAATTGTAAATTGCAACATGACTATAATAATATCATTATTAAGAAAGCCCTCGTTATTTGGAGGGGAGGGCATTTGGTGCGAAAAATATTCCAATCCTACGATTAAATTTCTAATACCACCTCCTCTCATAATATTCTCCAATTCCACTAGGTACTCAATCTCAAATAACAAACAATTTTACATACCAAACACACTTTTAGTGGGCATTTCCAGTTCCAATCTTAATCTTTGGCTTTCAATACTTCATATCAAATAGGACCTAAATGTGGGCATTTTTTCCAGTTTTAGGTGGAATTCGTACCTTAATTTGTCATATGATGAGAAATTAACTCATTTTCTAGAACCAAATCTTATTTCAAAGTACATTCTTTGTGGTTTTCTTATCGGAAATGTTAGGTTTTATGCCTATACATGGTGAATTAATGGGCTAAGCCCAATATGTATTTCATTAATATTAATTATTAAAAAAGTGAATGGGTTTTTTAATTAGAAAAAAACTGTGTCAAGTGGTTCCTAAATTTAAGTAAGTGTGATTAGCATTTCTACCTACACAAACCGTTCCTGCATTACAAGATCTTGCTGTTTCAAGGATTTGTTGCTACTGAAATTCGTAACATAGGCATGGAACTACTATGTGCATCTCTTCAAGCTGGCTTTTAATGTTTAATGCCATGAGCAGGGAAGTGGCACAACACAAACACTTATTCCTCCACCAAAATAGATTTCCCAAATTACACTACAGGATTATTCCCTTTTCATTATTCATCATGTTCCTCCAGGCCTTCAAATATGATCTGATTTTGCACATCATATAGTCAGTCTACTGGCAATCTTCATTTCTGCTTTACATAGGCGCCGAGTGCATAAATTTAATGCTGCTTTCAAAATTGTCTAAATGTTCCCACTCACCATAAAAATCAATCCATGCATGTTCATAAACTACAAGTGCAAAACCCCTCAACTAATATACCCATAATGGACTATTATCTCAAAGCTTCCTGGTTTTCACTTCTGTTTTTTAATAAATGCTTCAGAAGCTCAACAAAGTTGCAACAAAAGTAAGAAGGAGAAATCTTTTCTCTTTTTTTGTGACACTAAAAGTATTTTCTGCAAACAATAGAGACTAATCTCTCTCGGGGTGCGATGAGGCCAAAGGTTAGACTCTTTCCAATTAGGTTTGCTTTATATACAAGAGTTGACAATCAAACCCCGAACCACTTTTATTCTTTTGAAGTAAGACACAGCACTTCTATTCCTTTCATCTATGGCATATACCTTCCAATATATAAAACATGCCTGCAGAACACTCCCCAAAAAAAAAATGGTACATCTCAATAAGGTGGATGAATTCAAAGGACTATAGCCTTTAAGCAGTCTTTTCACAAACCTTCCCACGATACTAAATGCAGCACATAATACCAACTGCGTCAACACAAGTTTCTGCCCATCATTTTGGTCTCTTGGTACATTTTTCACAACACAAGTAAATTCCTTATGACACAGAATCACAGATGAGTATATAGTAACTAACTGTATTTCTACCCCAGCACGAACTAAGAATTAACAATAATAGGTCCACTAGCATATGGTATTACTAGCTTTCATACTCCTAAGGATTAGCATGATACATAATGTAATATTGACTTTCAGTATAACAAATTAACTTGAAATATAGAGGACTTCTACATGTATAGATAAATATCACATCAAGCTGGATAAATATTATTCTGTCTTGGCCCAAACGTACAGCAGATGAAACATTGAACAAGGATTCATTCTGATAAATAAGCATCTTAGCAAGCTTATGAACCAAAGACAATCAAGTATAAGCACTAAAATCTATAAATGTAGACACAACTATGGGCAAATAAAAATGTTCAAGTATAATATGAATGCGCACAACACGAGTTACATGGCAGCAAAAGAAAATTAGACATAGGGAAAAGCAAAATAAAATGCTAAGAAAATTCTTAAACAAAATATACTGAACTCAAATGCACGTAGACTCTATGAAAAAGAAGCTTATTGTTCTTCCAAGAAGCCATAACTTTGTGCCTGGAAAGTGGAAATCAATTACTTTTGCCCTCAAACTTGCTAAAATTAAAGCTTATCTTTTAACTATGCTTTGGTCTACTTCCTCTTCCTTCTAGAAGTCTTAAGAAAAATCAGAGCAGCATTCACTGAAAACATACTGCAGTTGAAGAGTCCTGTTATGAAAGATCACAGAGAAACACAAAAGCATATGGTTGTGTAATAAGTCTAAAGCATCAAAAAGGTTAACAGAAGAGGATATAAAAGAACTACCATCCTTCCACCAAAAAAAAAAAAAAACTACCATCCTTATTTAGAGAACATATAGGGCGCATTAGTTTTAAATTTGTATATATATCTTATATTTAATCATGTCATTAATAGCATTCAAGATATCAAAATTTAAATTTAAATTTCCCATGTACCAAACAGCTATGCTTTGCTTTATTCTGAGGATTTCCTTTATCAGGCAAAAAATCCTTGTTTCCATGTAATAAGAGGCAGAAAGTCAGAAATAACTGAAGTAGGACACATATTTACCTCAGTAATAATTCATCAAAAGCTCTCCAATGCGAATCAGTTATATGCAAGAGCTTATCATGTCTTCTTTGGAATGAATCTTATTTTGTGACAAAACATAAGAAAATCATATCATCAATAACTCATGTTAAGTGACTATAGAAGAAAAGCCTTTTTTTGGTCTAGTAATTATGAGGATTTGCGAAACCAGCACATGTTTTGTCCCAATATACAATTGATTGATTATATTAAAAGTTATTTTTCTTAGTTCTCATGTTCACATTTTCACCATCATGCAGTATTTGTTCGAACTGAGCTTTCTTGAGCGATTTGATGCACAGATAAATACAACAGAATAATAGCAAAATGAGGGCTACAGTCCAGAGCACGCCAGTAGTACAGTCGTTACAATTTTACCTTAAAATCATTAGCCAATTTCTCTTCCGAGATTTTATGGTCCAAACTGCACAGTTCTGTGTTGATTTTTTTTTCTTCCCCAACTTTGTCATATGACATGCTAAATAAGAATACAATTGTGTAGAAGTTCGGAATTTTACAAGCTAAATAATTTGTGGAAAATAAGAACTGGCCCATTTTATGAGAGATTTTTTCCTTGGGCTGAAAACCCAAGAGCAAAAATAATCTTTTAAGAATCCGAATTTAAAATTAGGCCAACATATTCTATTTGGGGCTAAAGAAACATGAAGGAAGTAAATAGTTGTGTCCAAACCCATCTCCAGCCCAAGTTATTCAGAAGTATCATATAATATATAGCTTGTTACCCAAAGAAACAACTGGGGTTCCAACTGCCAGTATCAAAAGTTCGAATTTTGGTGATTTTAAACTCAATTTAATTTTAAGGAGAGCCAGTTGATGGTAGAAACACCCTTATGAGCCCTTTTGCAGTAACCTTCTGCTCACATGTAGGGCATTTGCCTTGTGCTTTTAAAGTATCCTTAATGCATCTCTTACAAAATATATGACCACACCTTGTCAACACTTCTTCCACAAATGGTTTTGTACATATTGGGCAATGAAAGACAGGCTCCTTTGGAGGTTCAGTTGACTTTATATTTTCCTCCCTCTACAAAATGGAATAATCAGGTTAGCAATTTCAATTCCATAAACATCTCCACAGTATAAGATTCTATTTGTTCATGTCCGCAATAACTATTATAATAGACTGACAATTTACATGTTATTTTTTAGGACAAAATACTTCTTATTTAAAATAAATAAATAAAGCTAATGTGGAAACCATGGCGAAATGAAAAAGGGGAAAATGTCAAAATTTGATTCAGCAGGTAATACAAAGAAAATCCAGTTATGCTGAGATGATGTACTGCATACGGAATATAGCTGGGTCACCAAGAGAACACAACAACCTTTTGAGAGAAGAATGAATGGGAATTGCAAGACTAAACATCAAAAAAGCTAGTGTTCAAAATTAAAACGCATATCTAAAGGAGAAAGACAAATTGGTCCATGAACAAGTAAAAGGGGCTCGAGTTCATGAACTTCTCTATCAGAGATGTCTGGCATAATGAAGCTTTCAAAATATAGTATCCCCTTGACTAGGACTAAAACAACCAAATGAACCTTCCAATAAAGAGATGATAAGCTTCTTCCTTTAAAGTTCCTCCCAAAGCTTTATTGTTGGTTGTGTGTGGAGTGGTGAAAAAGAAAAATCAACAAGGACCTGGTTGCAAAGATAAAATGGACATATAGGAGGTATAAATATGGGACTTGGGAATTAGTGTGTGCAGTTTGAATCAGAAGCCAAGGCAAAGAGTGCATGCACACGGACAAGATGGTGAGAGTAATGGGTGGCGTGAGGGATGAGGGATGAGAGAAAAGTCAAAAAGAATTTTGTGTAAATTATAGTTTGAGTAAGGAACAAAAAATTTTCTTCATTAAACATTTTGCTTCCTTTTCAAGTTTCTTTGAAGTATTTTAAGAATTTACCACTCTAATCCCAACATATTACAGGATAAAGCATAGCCGTTCACCAATCACAACAACAATAAGAACAATGCACACTAACCAGAACACTGACGTCTATTCAAAACAATAGCCAATTGTCAATCAAAGCAATATTAAAGAAACAACAATCACAAGCTAAAATGAAATACGACACAGATTGAAACATTCTAATACCTCAGAACTGCTACTTCCTTCCAAGTTTATATATACATCACAATTAGGAACTGTTTGGCACAGAGAATCTCCTCTGCAGTCGTTGGGAGAAATTTCAGTCACCTGACTTACATGATCTGCAATTATTTTGAATGAAAAAGAGATGTTAACCACAACCAATCTTAGGAATATGTGTGTCATCAAAAAAGATTTGACAACCTGAGTTGACAAGAGCTGTGAGAGATGCCAATCCATCAAAACTCAGGATTCTAGTGGTAAGCATTTTTTATGCAACATACACTCACACACACTTGCTCTAATGCAGAGTTATGGAAGAGAGTGATAGAAACAGGAGAGGGCAAGAGAGGAACAGAGGTGTAGAAAGGAGGGGGAAGAGACAGGATGAGGAGGAAGAGAGGAATCAGATACTAGGTGAGGTAAACATATTTCTTTCATTCATCAAAGTCTATTTTACGCAAGTGCTATCATAAGCTATTTATAAACTAAGCTTTGCTTCCTATTAAGTAATCTAAGAGAGAGTAAATAAAATACAAAAATAAGTTAGGTTTCCTCAAAATCTATTAATTCTTATATTCCATCGTTCTTCCCTACTTGAAGGAATTCTCTTCCAGAGAGTAAAGCACATTATATGACTCCAACACTAAGCGAGGAATTCTTCTAAGTAGCATCTAATCCAAGGATCCTTTCCAATGGACAAGGTAGCGAAAAATGAGACATTGTGGAGAGCAAGTAATCTGATCATACTGATTTGGAAAACCTTTCTAATGAACAAGATAGTTGTAGAGATTATCATCAAATAAGAAAACATGCTCAACAAGGTAAAGTGATTGAATAATATGCTACCTAAATCCACATCAATTATAGTCCTCCCACGATTTCTTCTCGAATTATTTCTAGCCTAAATTGAATAAGAACGACATAAATAAGGTTAGCCTCCAAAAATCAAACATAGAATGACAATATCGAATCAGCAATATATCCAAGGGACAGGCATACCTCAACAAAAGCACTTCGTGTAGATTCAATAACATCATCATCAGTAGCCTCCACATCAATAGGCTGCATAAACTGTGGTTGCTGGACAGCTTGAACTACACGAGATTCTGATACAACTGAAGGTCCCTCTTGCAAATGATTAGCACGAGGTGGAGCCCTATTAAGATCCAAGCCCAGGACAGCACCCCTTTGCTGACTTCCAGGAGAATCGCCCCCAACAGAATGAGTACTCATCTTGTTTACAATATTCCTGTATCCAAATCACACAACCTTAAATATACCTCATGTCAAATGAAATTATCACTATACACATCAAAGGAAGAAAGAGTCATAGCCGGTCATTAAAAGAGGCAAACCTTGCCTGACAGAAGATGATGGAGGGAAAATACAAAAAAAGGATAATTCCAATAATTGAAGAGTGGGTCCAGATGTTCATAACTTAAAGGAAACCTCTGACATAGGGAATTAATTATCAATCATTACATGTAAAGCAATACAAGTAATAATTTAAAATCATTCTGTCTATGCATAAGCCTAAATGATATTTTTGCACATGTTAATGATCATAACATGTGAAACAATTGAATTCTTCATAGATAGTCAAAATAACATAACAGACTTGTATACCAGCAGAATTAGCAATCCTAAAACCGTTCTTGATTAAAATAATAACTCAACAAACTTAATTTTTAGGTTAGAAGCATTATAAACAATCTCTTTTCACAGTAATACCTGACTAAAATGCTAGAGATTAACAATGGCAAAAGTACTGAATAACAAAAGGAAAACAGTTACCAATCACCGTGGCCCTTGGATAGTAGGGTGAGGGGGATAAAGAGTTGACAGGTTATCCAGAAAAAAAAATTACATGAAAAAATCTACAAGTTAGTGTAAATATAAAATTTTATTATACGAGAAAAAGAAAATTTCCTATTTCTGACATTTGCTAAATTCATCATACAATTTTCAGCAGAAGGGAAAGAAAAACCACAACTTCCCAAAAGATTTATCTTTACAATTTTCTTTGCAATATTCTGGAATCAGTATCTATCATCCCAATGAAAAGATCAACCATCCATCCAAGAAGTTAGAAATACAGTACAATTTCCAGGTATATACATTCAACAACTAGAAACTTGAGTCTTGAGTGGTAGACATTAAGTTAAATAGCGAAGCACGGTAAAATTACCAGGTACACAAATTCAATAATCAGAACCAACAAAGCCATAATTCAGAAAAGAACCATAACCAAGCCTTCACAAAAAGTAGACGGTCAGCCCAACTTACCCACTTGCTTAATTCAAGCATGCATATTTCATTTCAACCATTTCAGGAAAATCGATTTAGCCAAGAAAAAGAAAGAGTAAAAGAAATTGCCGAATATCATATGCATAAAGGTAATCGCAACTATCATAATCAACAAGAATAACAGGGAGAAAAATAAAAAAGAAAAACATGACTCTGTTTTCAGCACCGATGTCCAGAAATCGAGAAAGAAAATTACAAGCAAAACAGAAAATCACAATCTACAACACACCACCGACCGTCTGGAAAAGTCAAACAAAGCCAGACCAGAGACGGGAAAAGGAAATTTAAAACTCGAAGCAAGAAAAGGAACCTTCAACTGGATATTAGAGAAGCAAAATAGGACAAATCCTCACAAGCTTCGCAATCATACAAATCAAAGAGAAAATCTGAACTGTTTAAGCAGTCGAATCATTTGAATTTTTGGAAACTATTCGTCTCCGCTTATATTTTTAGGGGCGCGGGAGGCAACCGAACGAGGTTTTAATACTCTTTCTAAAATTACAAAAAGATTTTACATTTAGCACTAAGATGATGCGAGTACTTCTTTAATTCTATTTATAATATAGTTTTTATGGAATTACAATAAGAAGGTAGTTAATACTTAATAGTTTTAATGGTTCCTCGCCTGAAAAAATATGTGGTTATTAGTTAAGAGTCTTAATTTTTTAGAAAAAAATTAATAATATTTCTAAATCATACTTAATTAAAATTATTAATTTCTATCTTTAAATTTTGAAGTCGGCAACAAAAAAATTAAATATGTAAATATAAATTTTTCAATAAATTGTATAAAATTCCTTATCTTAAAAATTAAAAAAGTGTCAAATAATAAGTAAATACAATCAGTTAGGGAGAGTGCAATTTCTAAATTTGTTTTATTCTTTCTTTAAAAAAAAAAAAAAAAAAAGAGGGGTGATAGAAATTTGGACCTTTTCTCCTCCCATCATAGTTGTCTTTTTCGTGGTTAGGATCTCAACTGTATGTCTGTTGTGTTTTTGTTTTTGGGTCTTTTCCTTTTGGCAACCCATATATCCAACCCATAAAGAACTGGCCCTAAAAAATGCTGGAGAAACCCACCGTCCCACCATCGCCAGGTGTCAATTTCTCTCGCCGTATCGGAATTTTGAGGATCAAATGGCTGGCTTCTACTAATGCAAATTATGCATCTCACTGTATTTAGGTATAGGTAACCAAATCAAAATTTTCAAATTGGAATTTTTTCTAAGTCCTGTAACGTGATTAACTGAATTGAAACTTTTTAAAATAATAAATTAAAAGGCAACATGATCATTTCAATAAATTTGAAATCTCAGTTTGGTTAACGGCATCTAAACTGGAATTTTGCTTGTCTGGGGGAGCATTTGGGAATTTTCAAATTCAAAAATCATTTTTTTATATTTTCCCCAAATTATATCTTCCTCTTCCTCTCCGTCTCTTTATTTTTTCGGCAACTTAGTAGTATCTCTTCATATGTGATCTCCACAGTTAAATTTTATTCAAAGTAACTGATTTTTATTTATAGAAATTAACAAAGATTAAAATTATACCCCCGCAAGCCAAAACACATATATGGAGTACGATTAGTCCTTAAAATGCCCGATTCAATTTTTTTTGAAAAATTTTTGGTCCTATTGCAACTTCATAACGTGAATTGATATATATTTCAGTACAACGTAATCTGGGGATGTAAATTTTGTATGTTCCTGTCCTATGTACATTTTCCCCTCGTGTATCTATCAAAGAGTTCAAACTTCTCACATTTTATATATCCCCCCCCCCCAAAAAAAATATTTTTGAATCCATCTTTTTGCAAAACATGAATTATTTGAATATTTGAAGATATGAAAAGAGTAAATATTTAATTTAATAGTATCAAATTAAATACTTAGAAAAAAAATTAAATTTTACAATAAAATAAAAGGATAACAGCATATTCGACGAAAATAGAGCCAAGGGGATAAAATGTTAAATTTTGGACAAAACTAAGGAAACCAATCAAAACCAAATTACATCGAGTTAGGGAATGAAGAAACAAACTTAAATGCCAAATCACAAGATTAAATAAAAATCAGAATTAAAAATAACAAGAATACAACTTAAGAAACTACTAGCAAGTAACTATAAAACCAATTTCCATTCTAAATTCAGTTAGTCTTTGTTATGAAAGACAATATGCCTTCCATTTTTAAACAGAAATCTCGGAAAATCACAAGTCCCAGAACTGACTCATCTTCATATACAATCCTCCGAAGCCTTCCTCCATTCCTGTATCAGCAAGCTGCAAGCAATATACACAGAATCTCTCATTAAAAAAAAAAAATGGACTTTAAATCTTGCCTTATTGTTTTCTTGATATTGTTCTTGGCCCTGGTGGTTGCTAAGGCTTCGACTGCAGATAACTCTGAAGAATACTTGAGCTTAGGTAATGCTGCAGAAGGAAACTTTACTGGAGAAGACGATGAATCAAACCCTAACCCTAATAATAATGAATCATTATCCGAAGATTTCCGCCCCAAGTTCATAAGCTATGAAGCTCTCAGGGCAAACACAATCCCATGCAGTTTAAGGGGACGATCCTATTACGATTGTCGTATGAAGACAACAGTGAATCCTTATCGTCGGGGTTGTAGCGCCATTACACATTGTAGAAGATTAACAGATTAGTTTAAGGATCGATCGACCTGGGCATAATGTACGCACAAGAGGAAGATTTATAACACCCGATGGTGTATTATATTGTTTCCTATTTCAGTTTAATTTACATATTTTCTGGTTTAATTCGTAATGCTAGTCATGGAGCAAACAGAAAAATTGAAAGAATTATATATTCAATTGTCCAGGTTTCGTGGTTCATTGTATATTCATGTGGAAATCTGAAGTATATTGATACTGAGTTGGGGTTAATGTTCATTGCTTTTAAAGTATGAGTTTCACTGCAGTTTTCGGGCTCATAAAGTAATGTTATACGAGAGGAAATGGGTATGTGGGTAAATAGATACACAGAGAGATAGATGGAAAGATCTTCTCTTTTTTTTTTTGGGGGGGGGGGGAGATTGTCTAGTTTTTCTCTGTTGTTTATTGGAAGTTCTTTGTCTCGTTCATTTTATTTTACTACTATTAGTTTTAAATTTCAGGCTGAAGGAATTAAAATAACGGTGTGATTTGAGTTCTTTTTAAAAATATTTTCAAAAGGCTTTTCGCCTCCTTAAATTTCCTCGAGGGCATAAAAATTTTCGAACTTGCAAATTCATGTAGAAATTATTTTAGGGAAAATTTGATACAAGGGCCTAATAAAACTAATATTTACTGAGAAGGATCTTAAACATTATACTTTTTTATGGGGACCAAACACTAAAATATAACTTTAAAAATACCAAATTAACCCTAATTAAATCCCAGCTGCTAGCATTATCCATGCAAACGAAATGCCAAGCGTACCTCCATTTAATATTTTTTATACTCTTCTTAATTTATACTACCTCTGGTCCTTAGTATAAGACATCATTTGACTTTTATTTTAACCCTAAATATAAGAGTCTAATCCACTTTGTCTCTCATATTTATGCATTTTTTTCATGATAGTCCTTCTAATAATGGTAATTCTAGCTAATACACTTGATTAGCAAATACATCTTAAGAAAAAAATACTTATTTATTACAAATAAATAACTTAACTTATTTTCTTAATCTACTCAATTAGTTAACTAACTCTTATATTTAGGATTGGAGGAAGTACTATATAATTTTTTTTCTCATCAATATTTACAAAATAAATTATTCAAATCAAATCAAAACCATTTATTACTAGTCCAAAATATTTTCTTTATCTAAACAAACAATGAAACCAAATTATTCGTTTGCATGGCTAATGCTAGGAGTAGTTAATTTTCATTTTTCCCTTTCTGCGGCTTTCAGTTGGATTTTCTTCTGTTTTTTTAAATATTTATTTATTTACTTTTTGTTTTACAAATTTTCAATCTATATTTTTATATGGTCAAAAAATATATTTTTTATAAATATATTTAAACGTAAATAAGCATATTTTAATTGATTTCAATTAATACAATTAAAAAATTTATAAATATTTTTTCGTAAATTGTTATTAATTTCAATTTCTTAAAATAAATATATTTAGATATATAATATTATTCAAATTTATTTTTATATCTAAAATTTTCTATTCTCTTAAATTTAATAACCTTTATTTTTAATTATGATTTACTTTAATTGACATATAACAAATCATGAAAAATAATTAAGGAGAAAGAAATTAAAAACATGAAAAATTTAATGAGTATCGTTGATTAATTTGATTTTTATGTTATTTGGGTTTCACCCTATGTCTACCTCAAAAATGACATGGAACTAATTTTTTTGGTGAAATATAAAACCAACCTGTGGAGCTCTATTTTCTACTTATTTGTTGATTTAGTTAAAAGTGATAAATTTTTAATTTTAATCTAATGTCACTAAATTATGAAATATGATGTTTATTATAGTACTTGACCCCAAAACATTGAGTATGTGTGAGGCCTGATTAGAGAAAATCGAGGAATTTAGCTAGGGATAATTTAGTATTTATAAATTTATATTTTGATATTTAGTCCTTCTAAATAATTACAATTTGTAAGATCCTTTTCAATAAATATTAGTTTTTGTAGATCCTTCTCTTCAATTTTCCCAAATTCTTAACTCCCACCTTCATATTTACTAATCAAAATCAAGTTTGGTACCTAAACTTCACAATTTTTTCAAGGAAAAAAATTAGGAATAACTGAAATATCACATTTTTATAATGAAAGATTTTAGCCCTTCTATTTTTTAATTCGAAAGAACTCAAATCTGTATAATTCTATCACTTAATAAACTACAAAAATCAAGAGCTGTTTCGCGTCAAAGTCCATACTCCATAGACTTGATCAATAATTAAGAGAAAGTTTCTTTATTTAATTAGAGATTGCAACTTACATTTTCCCTTAAAATTAAGGTTAGGAAGGTATTTTAGTTTTTCAGTCTCACATTTATATTTTCCATTTATCCCTCTTAACAACATATATTTTCAACCATTAATTGTTACATCCATCCAAATTTTGAAAAAAGAAAAAGAAAAAGAAAAGGATTTTGTCTTCCGCTTCTGCCCCGACGTCCCTTGACGATAAGATGAAGAACTTTCAAAGATCAATTAACAAACACAATCCAAGTGCTAACATCTTTCAGCTATTATAACATTCCCTCTTCAGCCATCAAAATAGACTTTGTTAACTGCAAAACTAATTAATGTTCTTTTGCCTGCTTTCTCAATTATCCGTTGTTGAATAGTTCTATATCATCGTTTTCCGGAAAGAAAAAAGGCCCCCTAAGAGCTAGACTCTAATAAGAAACCAACCCGAAAGTGCCCCCAGCTTACGTAGCAAGGCTTTGCATCTGGATTTTCTTAAACCCAACAAAACCAATTTGGATGCACTTAATCACTTCATTATATGATCCAAATCCCTTTTTTATTTGAGTCCAACTATGAACAACTTTTCTTCGTTGCTTCCAAGCCTGCATAACAATATGCTTGAATCATCAGTTGTCATCCCTTTATTAACTTACGATATTGGTAAATAATCTTTTTCTCGTATATGAAGATGAAGAACTTTCAAAGATCAATTAACAAACGCAACCCTAAGTATTAACATTCCCTTTTCAGCCATCAAAATGAACTCTGCCAACTGCAAAAATAATTAACTTATACTCTACTGGTTTTATTTATAGGATAAAGAAAGAATGTATTTTTTGGTCCTATTTATAGAGCATTAAGAGAAATTATTTATTGGATGTACAATTTTACTTCTCATTTATTATCGTGTCAACTTTATTTACGTGAGATATAATGTATATTAAATAAGGATAAAGTTAGAAATTATTGAAGTTTAAATTAGATTTAACCAAATTTAAGATTTTTATTGGTTTGTGTGAAATATGCTGAAAATAACTAATTGGGGTCCAGATCCTCTCAGTGGGCATTTTCTCCTTTCATCATATCTATATGCAATTATACATGCATATCTTGAGCGACGAGCATACAGGCTTGAGGTATAATTGTAATATAAAGGAAGAATTGAGTTCAAACACCAAAAACATTCCATGTTTGAGCCCCCTCTATCTGTCTCATTTCAGATTCCTCGCAGCACAAAAGCAGTCAAATGCAAACAGGGAAAACGTAGATTTTACCTGGAATAGTACCTAAGCCATGAAAGTAATTTACTTTCAGTAAAATGTTCCTTTGGTAATTTTGTTTCTGATAAAGTTTGCAGAAGATCGACGTCATGTTCGCAATTAAGGGTTCAGTGCGTTTTAAAAGCAACAAAATTAGACAGCCACGATGTAGGAAAAGTTTGCATACAGGGTGCGTTTGGATCACTGTTTGGAGAAGGAAAAGTGCTTAGGAATATGTGAAACGACGGTTTGAAGTTTTTTTGAAGTAAACGTGTTGTTTGGATTGCTATTAAGTGCAAATAAACTTATGCTATAAATAAAAAGCTAAATAAATTATTTAATTATATTTTATATTACATGATTTCTCAAAAATACTTATGTGTATTATTAGACTACATATTAGTTTATAGGTCAAGCAAATTAATTTGAAGAAAAAGAAATATAAATATTTCAAAATAATTTATTTAAATTTCCTAATCTTCTCAAATTAATTATATGTATTTAATTATATTCTATGTATGTTCAAAATTTTCGCACCAACAGATATTTTTATTTTATGATTATAATTTTAATTATTTTTTTCACAATTATCATACTAATATCATATAATATAAAACATTAACATTCAATAAATTTCATGTCTTTTTTAGTCATTGTACATCTAAACTTACATTTTTATTAATCATTTAAACAATTTTTAACTTTTTCAATGGTCTTTTTATAAGCACCTCTCCAAACATAAATCGTATTACACTAACTGATTTTTATTCTAACTTTAGTTATAAAAGTCAGGTAGACTAGAAGTCAATTTTACCTAACGCCAATCCAAGCACACCCGTAATGAATTAATGGCTCAGATCAGCTTCTGAGGGATACTGAGAAAAATGAGACGAGAGAATCTGCTCCCAACCAACTGCTCTGAGACTCAGACATTTTGTTAGCTTTGATGGGAAGAGGGGCCCAGCGGTGGGGAAGCTTCCAGGTCGATTCAATCACAAAGTCATTTACGACACCTATAAATTTAATGTGCTTTTGCCTACTTTCTCAATTATGCGTTGAATGGTTCTATATCATCGTTTTCGAGAAAGAAAACAAGGCCCCCTAAAAGCGAGTCTCTAAGAAACCAACCTGAAAGTCCCCACTAGCTTACATCGCAGGGCTTTGCATTTGGATTTTCTCAAACCCAACAAAATCAATTTGGGTGCACTTAGTCACTTCATTGTATGATCCTAATCCTTTTTTCATGTGAGTCCAATTATGGACAAATTTTCTTCATTGCCACCAAGCCTGCATAACAATAAGCTTGAATCATCGGTTGTCATCTCTTTATTAACTTACGATCCATGTTTGTAAAATTTGACGGGGTTTTATATTAGCTATCGAGGGTCTAACACAACTTTCATCTTCTATTCGGGCTTGAAACCAGTTATACTATATAGACGGAGTTCTTTTATTAACTGACGATATTGGTAAATATTCTTTTCTCATATCTGAAGGCTGGGATATAATGATGATTGCATAAGAAATACTAATATGAAAGAAAATACTTTTTGTTACAACTCACATAGCTCAAGAGGCCATATTGTGATAAATTTTCAGAATTCGAACATTGCATATATATTCTGAATTATAACCAAGAATGAAAACAAATTAATATTATTAATAAATTTTTATCCAATCATAACAAGAACATCTGGCTGGGGTTCTGGACATTTAGGTCTTGATTCCATCGTAGGAAGGGAGTAATTGGCCGGGTATCAAGACTCCTAGCTGAAATTAAATCTGATTCTCTAGAGAATTTAAGTCATGTATCAAACATCTTCAACAAGGAATCGTTGTTCCATTCCATTCTCTGTGTCAAGATTCCCAAGTACCAAACGGAGAGCCTTAGGACTTTGTTATTGTGTCGAATAGAATAAAAACCGAATAAAAAATGATTAGAATAACATTATAAAAACTAACGTCATGCATGGAAAATATCACTTGTCCCTTTAAATAATTACGATGGAATAGTATGGATAAGCGTACATACAGTATAAATTGTAAATCTCAATTTTTGTGCGTAAAATAAGAATGCTCGTCTCTTGTAGAGTGTTGAAGAAAGAGAAGAAATGAAAGCATGGTCCTAATTAACGAGGAAAGAATTCACTCATAGACACTTCAATGGTCGAGCCTGATTCCTTACTTCCACTGGTACTGGGCCCAATTCTAACGTCTAGAAAGAATGCAGGTTCCTCTGGCAATGGGAGCTGAATGGAATCATTACTAAGATAGGAAACAACCGCAGCCATTGTGGGTCTTGTATCTGGATCTTCTTGAACACATAACAAGCCAATCTGGATGCACTTGATCACTTCATTATATGACCCAAATTCTTTTATATTCGAATCTAATATCTCCAGCAACTTTTCCTCCTTCCATTGCTTCCAGGCCTATGACAATCAAGGAGAGCTAATTATCACCATTTTACAAAGTTATAGAATATAGTTAAAATAATCTTTTATATATGGAAACATTATTATAACTTACACAGCTCAATAGGCCATCAGCATGCTGTGATTGGCTATGACGACTTGTATTCTTCTTTCCACTGATAATCTCTAACATTATAACTCCAAAACTAAAAACATCTGATTTTTCAGAATATTGTCCGTACATTGCATATTCTGGAGACATATAGCCACTGAAAAAAAAAATCAATAATAATGTTTTCATACAATACATAATAAGGACATTAGTTGAGATGTAAATTTTTCAATCTCAACTTAGGAACACTTATTTTTCTTTATTCAATTCAACTATATCAAAATAGATGTAGAGCTTAAAGAGAAAAGATTTAGAACTTACTATGTCCCAACTATTCTATTTGTACTTCCTTCATTTGTGTTGATAGCAACCATTTTAGCTAATCCAAAATCTGAGATTTTTGGATTCAATTCATCATCTAATAAAATATTGCTTGGTTTGAGATCACGATGTATAATTTTGAGACGAGAATATTCATGAAGATAAAGAATTCCTCGAGCAACTCCTCCAATGATTTTACAACGCTCAACCCAATTTAATACTTTGCCTTTTTGGGAACCTGTACATTAATTTGTTGTGAGTAACTATATATGTAGAGACAAAATAAAGGTAATCTAAGTATAGGCAATTAACTCTAACATACATCTGATAGCATGAACTACAAATTTCACTAAGAGTTAAAGAAGGTATAGATTGTCAAACCAAATAGAAAGTAGTCGAGGCTTTTGTTCGGAACATATTCATAAACGAGGATTTTCTCTTGTTCTTCTATGCAAAATCCAAGCAAGGCCACCAAATTTCTGTGTTGAAGTTTGGCAATCAATAAAACCTCATTCTTGAATTCTTCTCCACCTTGACAAGAATTTTTTGAAAGTCTCTTGACAGCTATTTCTTGACCATTTGAAAGAACACCCTAGAACCATTGATGATTAGATTAAAAGTTAGGAAACACGTATACATGTGTGCTTATGTGTGTCTATGTGTAACATTTATATTGATGACATGTATTACCTTGTAAACTTGTCCAAATCCACCTTGGCCTAAACATTTTTCATGCGAAAACTTATTTGTTGCAGCTTCAATAGTGGCCAAACTAAATTGTAGAGGCTCTAAATTATTGCCTTCATTTCCAACTAGACACATAAAAAATAGTAAATGATGCTGAAAGCGACAAAAGCATCGATACAAAAGCTGTTTGGACGAGCCAAATTTTGAGGAAATAAAAATTTGTTTGAGAACGAAAATTGCTTACAGTATTTTTGTCTGAGAAGAGCGCTGCGTCTCTTCTTGATTAGACTCTTTGAGAGATAGTAGGCGACACAAAAAAATATCCCCAGACCACCAACAAAAGAAACCACAACTATCACAATAGTGCTTGTTGACTGACCTTTCCCTTTTACTGCAAAAAGTCAAAAACATCATATGCTTCCACTTCTCAACGATGACATCATTGACTGTATCCCGTAAGACCAGGGGATCATATTCACATTCTGATTAGATTCAATTTTCCCCAGCTGTCATGTTATTTTTTAAAAATTTATTTTGATGCCGAGATCAGCATAATCTTTTTCTTTAATAGACTTACCCAAATACGCATTTTAAAAAAAATCAGAAAAGCGCATTAGTTGTTCAACAAACAATTAAAATTGTTTTTTAAGTTGAATTTACCTCGAGGATCTGGAGAATTTGTTGGAGGAGGGAGCGCAGGCGGTGTAGGAGTCGTCGCTTCTGGCTGATCATCAGAGTTATTATAGAAAGGATAGAACTCATAGCGAACGTTGCAGCTGGGATATAGAACTCTTCCTCCTTGTTTTCCCACACAGCACCATGAAAGGTCTCCAATCACAGCACTCAGACATTTTCTGCAATCTTGGGATGATAGGTCAGGCGTGCACTGAAGTAGAGAATACATAGTTCCGTACCCAGATATGCTTGCTTGCCTTGTGGCATATTTCTTAGCGTCGTTGGCTGCATCGTCTGCCGTAAAGTTAAGCGTGTCCCACAATAACTGTAAGAAGCTGGGCCGGGTGGCATTGCCGGTGTTCAAGAGGCCGAGTCTAGGCCTTGTGTCTACGGTGGCGAAGAAGGAACGGTTCGAATAGCGAACCATGCACTCGTCGTACCAGATGATTGCCTCCTTCGAAACTCTGCACTCGGAAGATAATCGTTGGGTGGCGTTCACGACGCATTGGTGGCATATCGAGAGGTTGACGTCACCCCGGCACATGAAGAGGCCATAGACGGTGTCGCCGCCACCGTTGACGGTGGCGTTGGAGAAGTCAGTGTTGGCAGAAGCTAAGGAAGAGAGGAGTTTGGTTCGGTCCGATTGAAAAGCACTATTGACAGTGAAGGTTTTGTTGGAAGAGCAGTTGTGGTAAAGATAAGTGACCTGTGCCTCAGTTGTAGGAGAAAAGAGGAAGCTGATAAGCAAGAGCAACAAAATTTTGTGGGAAGCCATGACCATGGACGTTATGGTAAGGGTGAAGAAGTTGTTAGCGGTGTTCGAATGAGACATCAGCTATAGCTTGTGGAGTTCTTATTCGGTATATTTCAATTCAACGGCGAGTGGGGGAGAATCTTTAATCTCATGAGGGAGAGAAGATATTGCAGTGGCTGCCAAAGAAAGAGATGGTTGATGATGGAGAAGATCGACTTAAGGCATTGAAATTTATTTGCGGAGACTTTTCAATTTCTTGTTGGAATCCAATGAGATCGAAGAAGATCCAAAATCTCATATCGAACTCAAACATTTACCATGGTAATGTTTGAGTTCGATATGGGGGAAAATACAATAGTAAAACGTATCAAATATACAGAATTTGGGGGAAAATACTCAAGATGCAAGGCAACGGAGGAAATGAGGTGGGACGAAATGCAAGGCAGATCTAAAGAAGCTTGAGGATGGATGAAGAGAAGCTCGTCCACGCAAGTCAATGAAACCGGGGAGAGCAAGTCAAGCTTTGCTTTTATTTATTGTTTCAATTTTCAGTTGAAAAAGGAACAAAACTCTTTTAAAGATTGGAAAAACCTACGGCGATGGGGCACGGGTTCTCTGTAGAGACTGCAAAGTCAATTTGCTTTGTAAGCTCTTGTTTATTTAATGTCCTTTTGTCTTGTTCCCAAAAGGAAAAAAAAAAAAGTCCTTTTACGCTATATGTACTTTAAGCTTTTGAAAATAATTAAAATTTAAATTTTGTATCTGACTTAATTGTTTAAATTTTAAAGATCTCGTTCCTTTAATTTTTTTAAGCTATGTGTTCAATAATTTATATTTATAGTGACCGCTGATTAACATATCATTATATCTGATCTTATCATTCATGTGACTAAATACATAAATTTTTTTTTTCTAGGTACATATATTTTCTTATTAGAAGTAATCTTATTTGAGGCACTATCGAGTACTAAATGTGGACACCTCTACTAGTAGGGATTCTAAATTTGATTTGCCATGTTGTGGGATTAACTCTTTTGGCTAAACTCAATCCCATTGGTGCATAAATTTCTAATTAAATAGATAAGCACTTGTCCAACCGAAATCTCTGATGCTCGCATACAAACATGCCCATATGACAAACTCAATTATTTTTACATATTTTGATATCTTTTATATGAGTTTTGTCAACTTAATTGGTTCCTTTTGGCCTTAATTGATTATTAATTGGTTTGATATGTTTTATTTTGAATTATTATTTTATAGGGGCAAAATTGTTATATTTTGGTTTAATTGTGACTAATTGATTTTTGAGGACAATTAATGCTACTTTATCTTTGAATTTTTACTTGAAGGTTTTTGGAAGATTTTGAAAATAAAAAAACAAAAAAAAAAAGAAAAAGAAAAAAACTAAAATAATAAAAGGGGGAGCAAAACGTTGCGTTTTGCCCTCTCCCCACTAAACCTATTATTCATATGATCTTCAACGCAGCGGCGCGGAGGGACCTGTGAGGCAGGAGAGGAGAGCAACGCACACGCGAGGGAGCTGGCGGCGAAAGAAAAAGAAAAGAGGACCAGCGGCGAGGAAGAGAGAACGAAGGACCATAGCTTCACGGCAAAATCACTCCTCCAGATTCCATCTTCATTGTTCTTCATGACTGAACCGAATTGGAATTTTGGTGGAGCTGTGGTGATGGTTAGGAGCAGCTAAATCCTTCCAATTCTCTAGAGCAATGGTTATGGCTTGAACTTAGAGCTTTAAAGGGGAGTTTCAACTCTTCTAATCTTTACTTCTTTCATTGTAATTATGATTTCTAGGTCTTAGAATGAATTTTATAATGTTTGAATGGGCTGTGATGATTTATATTTGTATTGAGATTGGTTGCAGTTGTTGGAATCTTTGATTATTATTTAACATTATGCTGTGATTAGCTTTAATTTCTTTATATTGTACTGGGTCAGACTATGTTTTGAAATTATTGTGAACATTTAGTGGTAATTCAAGGTGGCTTGGTTATGGGACTAAAAATGTTAATTGCTTTTCTTTGATTCTCTTTTTGGCTAATTGTGCTGAAACAGTTTAATTGTGAATAATTAATATGCAAGGTGGCTTGGTGTTGATTATTCTAATTAAACCAAGTCTAGGGGGTGGCCCTTAGAGTCTTTTGAATTTAGCTACTCCCAAATTAATTGAAGTAATGATAGCCTTAATTATTGTGCTAGAGGATTGCTTTTCCATTTGCTGTCACTTGTTTACTCACTTTGCTTATTTTATTCATATCCATTTCATAAACTAAAAATTCAAAAATTATTTATTCATTTTGCATCTTTTTAAATTTTGCCAATTAGTCAGTTAAAAAGAAAATCAATTCCTTTTCAAGTCAATTATTTATTTTTGATACTTAGTTTGCTTAGGATTTCAAATAAAGGCTTTTCAGAGTGAAACGACTCGAATTTTATACTATATTGCATTGCTTGGATTTATTTTTGATTGGGAACCCCAAGGCGAACGACAAAGGCTCTCATCACCATAAGATCTGCTAGCGGCTCAAATTAAATTTTGTGTGTTGTGATAATTATTATATTAAAATAGATATTATTACAAAGGGTTTTAAATTTGTAAAAGTTTTATATTATTGTTTATGACGATAATTTCGTGTCAGACATATATTTGAGTAACCTCGTTAAATAAAATACTTGTTAAGTTTTTCTCTATAATATAATATAATAATTAAAATATAGATGTGACGTGAGGCTTAGTGCGGGTGATATGTATTTTTAAAAAGAATAAGTGAGATTAATAATAATTATTATTGAGATATATAAACACTCCTCCCGTTCTTAATATAGGACCTAATTATTGAGTTAGTTTTGGTCCTAAATATAAGACCTATTTCTCATATTTATCAGTTTTCTCTAAATTACCTTTATGGATACTCCCTCAACCATAATCAAGTAAAAGAGGGAGAGAAGATATTAAAAAAGATTATTATGGTGTTTTAGGAAAAACATATCACATTTCTTATAATTAACTAACTTACCTAACTTTCTTGATCTAATCAAATTAGTTAAATGAGTCTTATATTAAGGACTAGAGGAGTATTACATTACCTAGCCCTTTTTATCTTTAATTTTTGTTCTAAAGATGCGAGCATCTTCTTTGATGCATTTAATGCTTTATGAAAAATGTTTGCATGTAACTGAATTAATTTAATTACAATAATTTTGACCATGTTTCATGCCAACAAGATACATAAAAAATACTACTCAAATTTTATATTTAAATTGAAAAAAAATTAGGTTTGTTATTATTGTACAAAGGGGAGGTAGGCAAATAAACAATCAGCTAGGAATTTTCCTTGTTTCATGCCGTATCTGTATAACGAATGAATCTGGCGGCTAAAAAGTACGGCATTATGTTTATTTGTCTTATTGATTTAATAATGTTGTCAAATTTATTATGATAATTATAAGTAAGTTTAATTTCATGCAACAAGAAGAGCAAGGAACTTTTGTTCTTAATATAAGAGTTTGTTTGATTTTTATTTTAGTTTTAAATATAAGATTCTAATTTATTTTATCTTTCATATTTATTCAATTTTTTTAAGATAATTTTTGTAGTAACGGTAATTATACATAATACACTTAATTAGTAAAGATATTTTAAAAAAATACCTATTTATTATAAATAATTAATTTAATAAATTTTTTAATTTATTCAAATTAGTTAACTAATTTCGGGATGTGTCTTTTTTTTTTTTGAGCCGGTGTTTTTGGATGGAAATAAGCCCCCAGCTTCTTCGGGACAAAAGTCTAAGCGAGTTGGTTTATATAGCCTTGATTTTTGAGAAACTCATTGTCAGATTATGAAAAACTGTTTGGACCCCCCAAAAAAATTATGAAAAACTGAAAACCTTTTTTAAGAAAACATGAAAAAAAAAAAGGTAAATCTTGAAACTAGTTAACTAATTTGAATAAATTAAAATTTTATTAAATTAATTATTTATAATAAATAGATATTATTCTGGAGACGTGTTTGCACCGTGTGGACCAATAATATAGGTTGACTCGTAGGCGGCCGTTTGACTCGCCGCGGGCCGCGGGTCACAACTTTGATAGGCTGGGCTCCAAATTCCACATCTTTATGGACCGACGTTTTAGAGGCGGGTTCATGAGTTAGGCTGCCAACCCATGTTTTTTGTAAAAAAAATTTACGTTTTCAAGTATTTGTTTTGAAGTCTTTAAATTAAATTGTGAACTTTAATTTAAATTATTTTTATGTCTAATAATTATATAATTAAATTAACCCCGAACTTGTGAATATAAACATATAATCTATTTTTATAACTATTTTATAAATGATAAGTCAATAAAGAAAGGGAGAAAAATAATTTCTTAACAATAATCAAAGCCACATTTAAATTAAATAAAAATAATAAATTTTATATTAAAATTAAAAGATTTTTTTAGATTTTTTTTTAAGAGGTTAGCATGCATGTGCAAGCTAAAAATATTTGTCTCAAAACTAGTTCATTCTGCTAATCCAACCCACTATTTTTAATGGATTGAGCTGGCGAACTCAATTTCTATATTTTCCATATTCCGTAGACTTTTTCAAATATCTATTGGAAAATACATGTTCATAGTTTTTGGGTAGGGACCACAAAAATATTTAAGGGTTAAAAAATTACACAGTGCGGACTGCGGAGACTCCGTTAAGAATGACTCTGCTTTTAAAAGAGACTAGAGATGGTGGAGATTAAAAGCATGTTAGCTGTTTTGGCCAAAAGAAAAAAAAAAAGCATGTTAGCTGTGGAAAGTAATTTTCAAAATAGAAGCGTGTTGGTCATGGAGATTTTATTATTAAAACCAAGCTATATATAGTAGTGGAAATTATATATTCTTATTATCTTATTTATAAGGCACTAAAAATCTTAAACTGTATTGACTTTCTATCAAATTATAATAACTTTTTAACTTTACCCTATTTAATAAATAAACTTTTTAAAAGAAATAACTGTTTAACCTATAATAAATAAAAGAGAAAATAGTACATTCATGTTAAAAATTTAATAAAGCAAATTACAAATAAGATCAAGAAAAACTTTCTCTCTCTATCTTATAAATAAGATCATAAAAATAATTAAAAGCGGTTTGGTTGTAAAAAAAACAAAAAAGAGGGAAGGTTGCCTAAAGTGGCTCCCATGGGATCCTGGCAACCATGAAATTTTGACTTGCTAGTCCATGAAATTGAGATGACCAAATCATGTGGGGGACTCTAATGCCCCGCTTCCCCAAATACTTATTTCTTTAAATTTGTTTCCTTTTAACAGTACGACTTTTATTTTTTACCCTTCTAATTTTAAATATAAGACTTATATGACAAAATGAATTTTATATTTAGAATCAGAGAAATAATTATTGATTAAAACAGACATTTGGTTCTATAAGTTTAGCTGAAATTTCGGTTTAACCCCTTCAGTTTAAAAAATATATTTTTGATCTTTTAACATTATCATTGTTAGTCTCATTTAATGAATAATGTTGACTAAATAGTGATCTTGCAATCAATATTGACGGAACATGCTCTAAATTAATTTTTTTTTCAATATAATTGTTTTTTATAGATGTTTAAAATTTTAAAATTTTATCAGATAGCTAATTTTTTAAATGCTTAAAATTACTTTAAAATATAAAAATAATCTATCTATCTAATATACTTATGAAATCTCGTAATCCCCATTAATACTTAAATAGGTCGGGTTGCAGATCCATATTTTGTTTCTTATCGAAAATTGTTTCAGCTTCATGCATCCCTGTGTCTCTTACATTAGTTTTGCATATAATTATAGTCAGTTATTAATAGTAATTCAATCCATTCAACTTTATACAGGTCTAATATTTTTATGGCAGAATAACCTAAATTTTTATGCCTATATGCTCTCTCTCTCTGTATGTGTGCCTTATTTTTATTATAAAAGTTCTATTTTTAAAATACACGGAAAAAGAAGAATATTTTGGGGTGGGGAGAAATGAGAATTTCTTGGAATAATTGGGGCCATGAATACAACCCATATGTATATGCCTTTTTTTTAATTATTTTACTTTATAAAAGAAATGCTATATTTTAAAAAATACACAAAAAACATGAAGTAAGAAAAACATATCCTAATTGTTTCAATAAGAAGTGGTGAAGAATACAAATAGAATAACATATTCTAATTAAATTAAGTATGTATTATACCTTATATAGATATTTTACTTATTTCAAATCTAATCATATCTAGTCACACATCACCTTGTGCATTGCATCAGAAGAAATTTCTGGTTAGATTAAAAAAATTAAAATTAAAAGTATGCCTTGTTAGTATTTAATTATAAGATTACCTTTTAAATCTGCTAAGTTAGCAGTTCTGTTAAATGAAACTCATAGCATTAATATTAGAGAACTTAAAAATATTTTTTTTAAATTTAAGGGCTTAAACCAAAACTTGAAGAAAATTTAAAAAACTAAACATATATCCCTACTAGTTAGTTCATTGGATTTACCAGAACCCATGCAGAAGAAGCATTGGGCAGGAAGATGGATATGCCATTTCTGAAAATGCCATTCTAGCATCTCCTTCTCAACGACTTCAATCTGACTTCTTCTGAAGTAGAAATCCTGGCTTACTATGACCGCAACTGCACAATTAATAAAAACTTCAGTTCTAATAGCCCCTACCTGTTCAACCCTAACACTCTTTTGAATTCTCACAAACAGAATAGCCTCAAATTGTCCCTACATTAATAAAGAGGCAATCTTCTGGTATGATCAGTGCTTCCTTCGCTATTCGCATCGTTCTTTCTTCTCCACCCTCCACCAACAGCCTACAGTTGACAGCATTATTATAACCGGCAGATGTAAAATTTGCACAATTAGAAGTCCAGAAAAGTCAGACGATGCAAACCCACGTGGAGAATTAAATAAGATGTTGAAAGAAGCAGCGGTGGAGGCAGGTACACCATCAGGACCTGCAGGCATCAAGAAATTTGCAACCAAAGAAGCAAATGTCAGTAGTTGGGGATCGCTGTGAACTCTTGTACAGTGCACGCCGGATCTGTCTCCACAATTCTGTAGCGATTATCTCAATGACATGATCTAACTTATTCCAATCCGCTATATTGCAATGCATGGAATTCTGAATCCGAGCTGCAATTTGAGATTCGAAATAGACTGATTTTATTATAAGGTCAACCAGCCTCCCTCCATTGTTTCTCCTGCTCAAGGTACATAGTGTCACCATTTTTTTCTCTTTTCCTTTCCTTTTGCCATGTTTAATTTGCACGACATGTGTGAGAAAAACCAAGAGGAGAAGACGAGGGTGAGGAGATTCCCTGCGTCGTCCACACATTTGATCTTGCCGAGATTTAAGATTTATGCATCTTATGTTTTTATTTCTATACTGATATACTTCTGGCTAATTTTGCCTATTTTTTAAATTGAAGACATCATTGAATTTTCAAGAAATAATTATCCAATGAAAGTAATTGTCAAAAAAAAAAAAAACCAAAGAAAAAAAATCGTTGAATTTCAAAAACACAAATAACAGTTTACTCATGGTTAACAATAATGTTTGTTTACCTATTGAAGGATTAATTCGGTATTTACGAATAGTTAAGGCCATGACATAATTATAAACATTTTGTTTCGTCTATTAAACAGGGCTTGGAAGTCCTACTCTTACAGACTGGAACTGCTCGGTCACTGAAATCTTTACTGCCAATGATCCCTACCTAAACAACCTCAAAAGCCTCACCTTCGAACTCTCCAAGTCATCCAACGACACCAAAAACAATGGATTCTGCAGAACCATCGTCGGAAACAAGGCCGACACCGTCTACGTCCTCTTCATGTGTGTGTCGTGCCCCTCAAGCTCTGCAATGAATATGTCAATGAGGGAATCGTGAAACTAAACGCTTTCGAAGGAGGCTATCATTGGGTATGATAAGTGCATGCTTCCCCATTCCAATCGCTCTTTCTTCTCAACCCCACACACACAACCTATATATACATAACCTGGTTGGGATATGCTTAGAATTTAAACACAGGGCTTCAATCGACTATTAGCGAATACATTGAATGGTTTAGTGGCGGCGACATCGACCTCATCAGCGCATGCAGGAGTGAAAAATTTTGCAACAAAAACAGAATGCAGCTCTTCAGAATTGACAACGTTGTATAGTCTTGCACAATGTACTCCAGTCCTGTCCAACCCAAAGTGCCAAAAATGTCCATAGGATGCTTGGCAACATATCATGTCATGTTCTCCTGGAATAAAAGGTGGACAAGTCATTAATCCTAGCTGCAACTTGAGGTTTGAATCGTACCGATTTTATAATGACAGTAAAAGTGCTGTTTTGGCGCCACCTGCGAATCCCCCATATATAATAGTGGTGTTTTAGAGCCGCCCTTGTATCCCCCAACTCCCAGAGTTTCAGGAAATACAGGTAAAGTAATTCAGGATCTAGTCATCTTTCATCTTTGTCACAGAGATATATCACTACATATAAATTGATATCCTTAACTGGCTCTCAATTTTGTGCATAAAAATCTTCTCCAGTTCTTATCTGGGGCATGTAAATGCATACTCATATTAATTTACGCAGGAAAAGAGATAACGACCACTCACTAACAATTATAATGGCAGTGTGTGTTATATCCTAAATTTTATTTTAGGATTTTTGTAAAAAAAAAATTCAAAAAAAAAATATTACTTTAATATTTTAAAAAAATGGTAACAGCTTTCCATAGAATTCGGTGAAAAGCTAAAACATTAAATGAGAAGGAAGACTTTGTGGGGGGGGGGGGATTTAATGCAAGAAGAAAAATTGAGAAAGGGGTTGGAGAAGATGGGGATAAAAGAGAGAGCAGAGGCAGAAGATGAGGGTCGTGAGAGAAAGAGGAAAAGAGAGAAAGAGAGCAGATAGCAAAGAGTAGAGTTGCGGTCCTCGTGAAGGAGAGGACAAATTTTGAAGATAATTTAGGTACATAAAATTATTTCTTTTCGTCAAACTTTCTTCATGAATATTTTCTATATATTTTATGCTTTCTAATAGTAGTATTACAATAGTGATTAGAGAAAATTTTAAGACTTATATATGATGTAAGTATTAAGTTTTGATAATAGATGATTATAGAAGTTTAGAGGTAAATGAGTAGTTAATTTTAATTAGTTTAGATTTGCATATTTGTTAGTATTTAATATTTAAATTAATTTGTTTAGTTGAAAAATCTATTATATATGGCATATATCATATTTTTACCGATTAAATTTAAGTTAAATCATTTATTTGAGTTGTTTGACATATTATTGAGATTTTGATTAGTTTACTTTTATTTATTAGATGACTGGAGGTTTTAAAATAATTATTTTAGCTAAAAAGTTTATTATGTATGGAAATATATATATATATATATATTTGTGTGTGTGATAGTTATACCATTAAAGTTTTGATTAGATTATTTATTTATAAATATTTGGGGTACTATTAAATTTTTGATAATTTAGTTTTGAGGTTTAAAATTTAAATGAGATTTTTAGAATATAAAATATAATAATTCCATATTTGAAAATTTTGAAAAAATTCTTTTATTCAAATAAATAATTTGGAAGATGTAAATAAATAATTTGGCTTGTTAGAAAATTATAAGTTAGTTAAAAAAAACTTAATTTTGGGTTATGAGAGTTGTGGGAATTTAGAATAAAAATTAAATTAAAAATTTAACTAATATATATAAGCTTAATTAATTAATTAATTAGCTTATATTAATATCTGGTTATATTAATTGTGTAGATTAATTATTGGTTGAGCAAAGGATTAACCTTATGGTAATCCTTTCTATTGCTTTGGCGAGAGGTAACTACTTTCTATTTGTTATATGTGCTAATATATTGTTTGTGAGTATTTTGTTATTTTTGAATAATGACGTGTTATTTAGAACTTAAGTAAATATGTTATATCTTTTGAGCAATAAAAATTATCTTATGAGATTTTTGAAATTGCGATTGAGAAGTTTGGAAAGATATATTATTTCTATTTTATGGATTATACTGAGAAAAGATTGAGATATATTTCGTTATATTATGAATGATTGATTGTTATTTGGATTTTGGATTGAGTCCTGTTCTATCATGTGGTAAGGCTGCCATTGGTGCATATTGGTTGGCTTCCTTCGTCCTCCATAGTGAGGGATGGGCCTATATGTTTGATTAATTCTCATAGTGAGGGATAAATTTATGTTACTTGTATGTTAGCCCCTATAGTGAGGGTTTGAATGATTGAAATTATATTTCTATGGATATATCTATATTTCTTGAGAATTAATAACTGTTCCGCTTGATAAATCGCAAGCACATGTTAGTATGCATAATGAGTTGGAAAGTTTGTTACTGAGGCTTTTGTCTCACATCATGGTTTTTCACTATCTTTAAATGATAGTTCAGGTAGTGGCCCATTGGGGAAGGCTCCTGAGGCATAGTGTACGGTTGTAGCTTGTATAGCCTCCCTGCTTTTGTTCTATGTGTTGATTTATTATATATTGTTACATAGGGCTCATCTACTCTAATATTGTAAACTAATACTTTTAATTACTACTATCAGATGTGATAAGGCTGTTAAAAGGCCAGAGACCTTTAAGACTCTGCATGTGACACTCTTTTGAAAGTTTTGACCTTTGACTAATTGTTTCTATAGCTTATATTAAAATGATTTATCAGTTTGTATGTTTACAAAATATAAGTTTAGTTTAGGCTAATGGTTGAATGATATTTCTGGGTTTTGAAAGTCCAAGGCCCAAGTTAATGATTGATATTACTCGTAATATAAGTTTATTTCTTTTAATCATGATAGTCATTTTATAATTTTAAGATTTCTTCTTTTCTATCATGGTTAATCTTTTGAATAAATTGTTTGATTTAATCTAAATGGGTTTTGAACGAACGGTCGTCATAATTTGATATCAGAGCTAAAGATTCTGTGAATTGGGTTGCATTACATTGCATTTAGTGGCAATATACAATAATCTCACATAACCTTCCCTATTACTTTATGCCTGTGCTTGACGTTACTTTTTTATTCTTTTTTGGTAGGTTCCATCCTTAGGTGGGGAGGATAGTGCGAACATGATCCCGACAAACCGATAAGGGTGGGGATGAATCCACAAACTGACCTAATCAACCACTGAATCCTTTGTAGTTTAGCCAAGAGACCTTACTGCAACAGCTAAGGGAAGTGGTAGTTACGATGGTAGATGATAGGGTAAGGAAGCTGGAAAGACTTAAGAAGCAAGAAAGCTATGGAAGAGTTCAAAGAGAGTGGGCTTCCTGAGTTGTTTGTGGGTAATTCTGGAACCTACAGGGGTTTTATTGAAGGAACCAGAGAAGATAGTAGCTTGTAAAGGCGACAAGAAAAAGAAGAGACTGTGAACCTTAAGAGTGTATTGAAGGACATAGAGCGATATTACCCAAAGATTTTGATGGGGGTATGGGTCCTGATAAAGCTTAGGCTTAGATTGATGATATAGAGACAATATTCAAAGCTTTGTGGCTGTAATACCTATCAGAAGGTACACAAAGCGGTGGTCTTATTAAGGGACCAAGCTAAGAGGTGGTGGAGGAGTGTAAGCGGCATAGATAACTCAGAGATTATTTGGACAGAATTCAAACAGATGTTCTTTTATCACTACTTTTGCCCAGCCATGAGACAAAAAAAAAAAAGAAATAGCTTGTTATGCTCTTCGACAGAAGAACATGCATGAGGATGAGTTTATTGCCAAGTATATTGACCTCTCTAAGCATATTACCTACCTGCGGCAGAAAGATAACCTAGAGCGGATGGCCCGATAATTAATAGAACAAGCGAGGCCAAAGTTGAAGTAGCAAATGGCATTATATGAGTTTAAGAGTTTCAAGGATGCCTACACAAAACTCAGGATGACAACCTACAAGACTCGAGAGGTAGAGGAGAGCCGGCGCCATTCTGGGTTAGTTGAAAAAGGGTTTATTAGACCAAGTGTCTCATTCTGGGGATCACTAGTATTGTTTGTGAGAAAGAAGGATGGGAGCTTGAGATTGTGTATAGATTACAGGCAGTTAAACAAAGTGACTATCAAAAACAAATATCCTTTACCTAGGATTGATGACTTGCTAGATCAACTAATGGGGTTAGCGGTGTTTTCTAAGATTGACTTAAGGTTGGGATCTCATCAATTAAGAGTCAGAGTAGAAGACATCCTGAAGATAGAATTTCACACCAGATATGGGCACTACGAGTTTCTAGTGATGCCTTTTGGTTTGACGAATACTCTAACGGTGTTTATGGACTATATGAACAGGATCTTTAGGCTGTACTTGGACAAGTTCATTGTGGTGTTTATAGATGATATCCTGATATACTCTAAGAACAAGAAGGAACATTGAGAGCATCTTTACATTGTATTACGAATATTAAGGGATCATCAGTTGTATGCTAAGTTAAGCAAGTGCGAGTTTTGGCTTAGAGAAGTGAAGTTCTTAGGTTATGTAGTATCTGCAGAAGGAGTAGCTGTTGATCCTAGCAAGGTTGATGCCGTGTTAAAATGGGAATCACCAAAATCTATGACGGAGGTGATAAGTTTCATGGGCTTAGCTGGGTATTACCAAAGATTCATCAAGGGATTTTTTCAAATCGCCATGCATCTAATTAAGTTGACCAAGAAAGACCAGCCGTTTTTCTCGGACGAAAAGTGTGAGGCAGCTTTCTAAGAATTGAAGGCTAAGTTGACCACAGCCCTAGTGTTGACTATTCCAGATCTTATTAAATCATACACCCTTTACACTGATGCTTCACTTGAAGGTTTAGGGTGTGTCCTGATGCAGGAAGGTAAGGTGGTTGCCTATACATCTAAGCAATTAAGGCTGCATGAGGAGAATTATCCTACACATGACCTAGAATTAACTGTGGTAGTTTTTGCATTGAAGATCTGGAGGCACTGCTTATAGGGATCACAGTTTAAAGTCTTCAGCAATCATAAAAGCCCGAAGTATTTAGTAGATCAGAAAGAACTGAATAATAGACAACGTCGGTGGATGGAATTCATCAAGGACTATGGCTTTAAGCTTAAGTATCATCCGGGTAAAGCCAACGTGGTTGCAGATGCTTTGAGTAGGAAAACAGTACATGTGCTTCATATGAGTTTAGAGTAACACTACTGTTTAGAGAGATTGAGAAATCTCCAAGCAGTGCATGAGGCTCTAGCCACTCTACAATCAATTGTGGGTGACTATGAGTTTTTTCGAGACTTAATGGCTGCACAGATGGAGGATGACCGGTTATTGAGTATCTAAGAGGAAGTGGAGACCCGTGATGTGCCTGATCATGAAATTAGTGAAGAAGGAATCTTAAGGTACAAGAAAAGGATTTGTGTTCCTGATAATGAGGAAATCAAAAAGACTATTCTAAAAGAGGTGCATCGAAGTAGTTACATGATACACCTAGGGATAACCAAGATCTACCAGGACCTGAAAAAGAACTACTGGTAGCCAAAAATGAAGAGAGATGTCATGGATTTTGTATTCAAGTTTATGACATGTCAAAAGGTCAAGATAGACCATCAAAGACCTCCAGGACTATTAAAGAATCTTGATATTCCCCAATAGAAATAGGATAGTATTTCCATAGATTTCATTACTAGCATGCCAAGAACCCTAACTGGCTATGATGCGATATGGGTAATTATGGATAGATTGACTAAGTCATCACACTTCCTACCTATCAAGAGTACTTACTCCTTGAAATGATTGACAAAGTTGTATATAGATGAGATTGTTCGACTTCATGGAGTGCCAGAGTCTATCATTTCAGATAGGGACCTGAGGTTTACATCAAAGTTCTGGTAGTCATTACATGAAGCTATGGGCACTAAACTCAAATTTAGTGCTGCTTATCATCCTCAAACTAATAGACAAACCGAGAGGACTATTCATACTCTCAAGGACATGTTGAGGGCTTGCATTATAGAGACAAAGGGCAGTTGGGACACTCGTCATTAGCTGAGTTTGCCTATAACAACAACTATCACTCTAGTATTCAAATGGCACTATATGAGGCTTTATACAGGAGGAAGTGTAGATCTTCACTTTGTTGGACTGAATTGAGTAAAAGAACAATTATTGGCCCAAATTTAGTGGACCAAACAACCAGAAAGATTGAGCTGATCAAGTAGAAGTTATTGATGTCCCAAAGTGGACAGAAGAGTTATACAGATTGTCAGAGGAGACCTTTAGAATTTGAAGCAGGTGATCATGTATTTCTGAAGGTTTCACCTATCATAGGCAATGATTTAAAAACCAGACAGGACCGAACGGTCAAATTAGTTAGACTGCTGACCAAAGCCATCCCCGGCTCGTTTTCTATGGTTCAACTGTTTTGTTGGTTAAGCCGTGTTGGGCCGCTTTGAGCTGGTTGTTGGACCAGGAACCGAAGTTTAATTGAGATCGAGGTAGTTTTAAAATAAAAAAATGGGTCAATTGTTAGGCCCAGAAACACTTTTAAAAAAAAAATTGCATATCTATCCAAAAAAAAAAACCCACATTCATCCCTAAAAAACCCCTCAATCCCTGATCAATTTCATACTCACGTTGCCTCCCTGCTCTCCATAGTCGGCAAAAAACACCTTCCACCTACGGTCAAAGAGACCATCTGAGATTTAATTCTTTAAAGTCGTCCTTCTTCAAGCAAACACATTGCAGTATTGGTGACTCTCACAACTCATATTTTGAGTGTTGGCCTTAGACGTTCGATGCCCTCTAGTAGTCTGCTTTCGAAGGTATGAAATAAGTGGTTTGATTCGATTGTTTGGCATCTTGTTGACTGTAGAA